TGCCTCCCCCCCCTCCAAACCGAACCTGACGGCCGGCCCGGCTCGGGTAATTGATGATGCGCGCAGAATCAACATGCCAAAATGATACTGCAGGGAGGGAATCAGCGAGCGCGGTCCAGTTGGGCCTGGCGGCCCCGGCCCGCCCGCTCTAGGCCGCTCTCTTACTCACGAACACGGTGGAGGGAGATCTCCCTCCACTGTTCTCACGAAAATAGGAGTTAAAGAACTTATTAAACACATACATAAACTTGAGTGATTCATGGCACTTTGTGAGAATTTTATTCAAAAATAAACAACAAAGGTAATGAATAGATCTTATAATTAATTACACAAACAAACAAAAAACACTTTTCAAGTAGTCTATTTTCGATTTGCTGTGAGCCCTCAAAGATGCACACGCTGGATGTCCAGCGTTCAAAACTGGTTCAGACAATACTTCTCACTCAGTAGTATCTCTCATATCTGCTCTAAGATGTGTGCGAAGATGAGAGCGCAGATTTGAGCCATGCGAAAATTTTCTGTTGCAGACTGAACAATGGAATGGCAGCTCCCCTGTGTGGACGCGGAGATGATAGCGCAATCCTCCACTTGTTTTGAGTTGTTTGTTGCAGATTGTACATTTAAAGGGCCCCTCTCGTTCTTGTGTGTGCGTCCGCAAATGACTTCTCAAAGAGGAACTTTTTCCATATTTCTTGTTGCAGATTGTACACTCGTATGGTCTCTCCCCTGTGTGTCCCCTCAAATGTACGCGCAGACCTTCTGGTGCCGAAAATGCCATGTTGCAGATTGTGCACTTGAATGGTTTTTCGGCTGTGTGGGTCCGCAAATGTTCGCGCAGATTACCTGTTATCGCAAATTTCACGTTGCAGATTGTGCATTTATATGGTTTCTCGCCTGTGTGGGTCCGGAAGTGCATGGTCAAAGCGGTACCTGTTGAACATTTCTTGTTGCATATTGAACACTCAAAAGGCGTCTCTCCTGTGTGGGTCCGGTGATGTGAGTCCAAGGTTGCCCGTTGGATAAATTTCTTGTTGCAGATTGTACACTCGAAGGGCTTCTCTCCCGTGTGGGTCCGGAGATGTACGCGCAGATTGTCACTAAACTTAAATTTCTTGTTGCAAATTGTGCACTCATACGGCTTCTCTCCTGTGTGGGTCCGGAGATGTGTGCGCAGAACGGTACTAGTTTTAAATTTATTGTCGCATAATGGACAACTAAAGGGCCTCTCCCCAGTGTGGGTCCGGAGATGAGCAAGCAGAATGCTCCTTTGTTTGAGTTTCTTGTTACAGATTGCACACTCGAACCTTTCTGCTGAGTGGGTCTGGAGATGAGAGCGCAGAAGAGTTCTGGATTTGAATTTCTTGTTGCACACTGAACACTCGGAAGGTGTTTCTCCGGTGTGCGTCCGAAGATGTATTGTCAGTCCCTCTTTACGCTTATATTTCTTTTCGCAGATCCCGCATTCGAACTGCCTCTCATCTGAGTGGATCTGCAGATGTTGTCGCAATTTTACCTTTTCTTTAAATTTCTTGTTGCAGACTGTGCACTCAAAGGGTCTCTCTTCTGTGTGGGTCAATGAGACATGTCTGCGCAAAGACTCACTCTTTTTAAATTTCTTGTTGCAGATTGCACACTCGAAGGGCCTTTCTCCTGTATGGGTCTGGAGATGTGTGTTTAAGGTGCTCGTTTCTGCAAACGTCTTATGGCAGATGGTGCACTCAAAGGGCCTCTCTCCTGTGTGGGTCCGGAGATGTCTTGGCAAATAGCAGGGTGATTTAAATTTCTTGTTGCAGATTGTACACTCGAAGGGCGTTTCTCCTGTATGGGTCCGGAGATGTCTGTGTAAGGCGCTATTTCGTACAAACTTCTGATCGCAGATAGAACACTCAAAGGGCCTCTCTCCTGTATGGATTCGGAGATGCTCGCGCAAGTTACCCGACTCTTTAAACTTCTTGTTGCAGATGGTGCACTCAAAGGGCTTCTCTCCTGTGTGGGTCAGGAGATGTCTTGGCAAATAGTAGCGTGATGTAAATTTCTTGTTGCAGATTGTACACTGCTCCGATGATGGCGCCTTGCTCATGTTGGTTATTCTGCTACTGGTGCGGTTGTTTTAAGAAGAGAACTCCTTGTAGCAAAGACCCAACGGGTATGGCCTGGGTGTAGAACAGGAGATACACGTTGTATCTGAAAGGAACACAACAGAACACTTTAGTTAATTGGCATACACATTTTATTTGATTTCCCCTACTTTTGCAACTTTTCGACACTGTATACAAAGTGAGGTTACTTCCGTCTGAGAAGAGATCGAGAAAGCACGCAACACATCATTTGAGACTAGCGGTTGAATTTTGCAAAATATTAGCTTTCTAGATTGCAATGCTGGAAGCGTGATACTAAATCTACTGCCTGTTTTCTTGGATCTTGAACATTCGCTGTTTTTAGCCCGCCCTTCTGCTTTGAAAAAAGCACAGGGTGGCCACTCACCGGGAATTTCCGGGAATCCGGGAATAAGCCGGGAATTTTTAGCGCCGGGAAAAAACCGGGAATAAGCCGGGAATTCTGATAGGTACCGGGAGGTGGCCACCCTGAAAGCATTAAAGCGGGCTTATGCAACCGCTCTCGTGTCCGTCTGTCTGTCCGTCGTCCGTGTAAGAGGAAGGAGATGAGCTAGAGGTCTGCAAATTTCAGGGTATCTAAGGGGTCACTCCTGGACAACGAAACGCCTGGTGCAAATCCTAGCAACCACCCCTAAGGGGGTGAAAGGGGGTAACAAAGAAATAGGGGTTGGTCCAAAAAGTAGAAAAAAAATATTTTTTTTATGGTCTCCTAAGGGGTAACTCGTGAAAGTAGAGCCCTCTGGGCGAAAATTTTGCCCGTTTGACGCTATCCTTAACCGTTTGGGCGCTAGAGTGCTTTTTTCGACGAAATACGGCGAAAATGACCACGTTGCACATAAAGACGTACAAGGAGGCGTCCAATAGTAAAATGTCAGAGGAAGTACCCCCCCAAAACAACACGTTCTGAATCAAGAACTACCCTCGCATTAGCCGTATCATTTACTGTTTCGGCCCTAGAGGTGGATATATTGAAAACAATGGCAGAAAGTCAAGTTATAAGACTCTTTGACAAACAATATACAATCTAAAAACTGCGCGGGTTAATTTTTTTTAAATTTTTAAGCAAAGCAGAAGGGTGGGGTGTAGTCACGGTGTTGCCCCGTTACAGTCTTTTGTCATTTCCAAGGAGCAAATCTCTAGGGCCGCAGGCCCCCAGCCGAACGCTTTAGTTTACTCAAATATGCAAAGTAATTTACCGGTCACATTATTTATTTGATTCTGCACTTCAGTAAATCGCGAGACTGAAATGGTCGGGCCGAAGGCCCGACCATCGCCGCCGGCAGGCCAAGCAGGCCCGGCCCCTGCCGAACGGAGTTGCCGGCGCAGCGAAGTGGAGCTGGCAACTCCGTTTGGCGGAAGGGCGGGCCTGCTTGTTATTTTGGCAATGAGCATTGTCATTTCTTGGCAATGAAGACGGCTTCATTGCCACTGGGTTGGCAATCAAGCGCATTTTTGGCAATGAATCCCGTTTGGAAATGGGACATTTTTACTACCATTACAGTGGCGATGGGCCGCTCATTGCCAACCTAGTGGCGATGAGACCATGGTCTACCAATACCAAACACTGGCAATGGAAAATAGCCAAACAAACAAGCGAGGCCCGCTCTTATCACGGTAACGAAGTCCCATTTTTTTTAGGGAAAAGGGAAAACTTTGAGGGAGTCAGTAACTTTGAGGAATCTTTCTTGAAAAATAAGAACGACCCACAAATTTTGGGGGAGTCCCTCAAAGTTAGCGTGGCTGCTGCTGCGCCCACCTCGCTACTTAAGAGCTTTGTAATAACTGATCAAATTGACAGTTGGTCAAATTTAATGGGTTTTTCTTAGTTTTAGAGCTGCGGAACTCGTCCTGCAAAGTTTGATGCGTGTACAATGAGAAGAAATGAAACTGATTTTTTGAATGATTTACGAGTGCAAGTACGTCTGAAAGCACGTAAACAATTTCTTATTTTTCAAGAAAGATCCCTCAAAGTTACTGACTCCCTCAAAGTTTTCCCTTTTCCCTAAAAAAAATGGGACTTCGTTTTTACCGTGATAGTTGTTTCACTAAATGTCACCACGGCAGGCCAGTCGCTATTGTAAGTACAATAGGGATCCATTGTACTCACAATAGGGACTGGCCTGCCGTGCCCTTTTTTTTGTTTGGCGATGATCATCGCCATTTCTTTGCGTTGAAAACGCCCTCATTGCCACTGGGTTGGCAATGAAGCGCATTTTTGGCAATGAACTTTGTTTGGCGATGGGACATTTTTACTACCACTACAGTGGCGGTGGGCCGCTTATTGCCAACCCAGTGGCAATGAGGCCATCGCCAACACTGTAATTCATTTGACGATGAAACCACTACCAAATGTGGCAATGCCAACGAGTTGGCGATGGGACATTTTCACTACCACTACTGTGGCGATGGGCCGCTCATCGTCAACCCAGTGACAATGAGGCCATTGCCAAAAGCTGGCAATGTGAAATAGCCAAACGAAAAACAGTGAGGACGATGAATACAATCCCCAAAACCTTGGCGATGGAGTTTCATTGCCAAAATATTGGCAATGGAGTTTCATGTGGTTTTAATTCGCTAAATTTAGCCGTTGGCCGGTGCTCGCAGGGGCAGGGGCAGCGTTTTTCATATTGTAGCTCGTTGCATTTGCTTACCGCTTGAACACTTGTCACACTCCTCGGGGCACCGGCAAGGTCGCCGATGACCGCTCTGACGGCCGCACAGGTAGATCCTCCTGGTGCGACTTCCACTCGCCGACTGGCAAGCGTGAAGCGTCTGCACCTGCACTGCACTATGGAGGCGGCAGCTGTGGCTGGGGATGGCGTGGCGGTGGACGCGGACAGGTCTACCTGCGCTGACCCGCACCTGTCTCCACCGCTTGCCAGCCCTAAGCTGGACCTCGGCGTCGCTCGAACGGGGATTTACCCGAGCCTGAAACTAAAAAATGCACTACACAGAATCTGCATAATAATGATTTTCATTTTCAGATCGTCGAAAACTTGCATTAATATGTTGGTTGGTTTCCGTTTGTGGGTGCGTGCGGGGCGGGGAGGGGTACCATGGTGGCGGCGACTACTGGCGCCCTTGGACGGTAAAGTCCCTTCTTGGCGTGCGGTGGACAGCGGCGCCTCGCCCCGCCCTGCGAGCCCTTGTACCGCTCCACGGCCTTGGTCGGCGCCGCGGCGGGGCGGGGCGAGGGCGGGCCTACCGGGGCCTACCCTATGGCAGCACTGGCACGCACTTACGCCCCTCGCAGCAGCAGCGCGTGTCGCCCAGAGAGGGAGCCCCGGTCGCAGCTTTTCAGGTTTTTTCGGGCTTTTTGTGCACTGTGTGCGTGAGCGGCTGTACTGTGTGTGCTTGCCCCCTCTCCCCCCTCCC